AACAACTTGAGTTATGAAGGAACATTAATTAGTATAATACAGGATCACTCCATATTCATGAGAAATCAGAAAAAAGAATGGAACAGGATAAAAACATCAGTCATCAAGCATTTATCAAGTACTTACTATCCACGTTCTGGGTTGAGGGCTAAGGATACAAAGAAAAGTCAAGACAAAAAGAAAAAAGGTATAATTAAAAAGAAAAGACCAAGCAAGAAAGCCAACTCTCTTCGGTTTATAGGTTCTTGATTTTAAACAAAAGGAAATGGGCTTGTAATGTAATAATGGGATACAAGAGAGATAATTATTGGGGGAAAGATCTAATCAGCTAAGAGTAAAGGGATGCTAATAAATAAGAAAGGACAGAGAAAAATCTGAATTAATAACCCACTGACTTAATCCCATGCTCCTCTATAAATGAATCAATATCTTTTGGTTGAAGAATGCCATACTGAAAGGTGCTAAAGTGAGAAAAGGTGAGGCAAGAAAGAGAGGACTTGGAAGATGTACTCCCACTTTGTGTAGAGGTAAACAGAGAAAGGATACCATTTTTTAAAAGATCCTTAACAAGGCTGGAGGAATGTAAAAGAATAAGATAAAAGACATGGAGGGAAAGACAGGGGATAAGGGGAAATGGAAGGCAGATCTCATCTTGGAAGAAGAAATTAATGGATGCCATTTTAAAGAAGTTTCCCATGGTGGCAGGAGACATATATGTCTATAATATAACAAACATAACATAGCATAATATCACATAATGTAATGTAAAACATATGACATGTTACTAGTAGTGTATACATAATATGATGTTATCATTGCTATATATGAATATAATATAATACACAAGAGATTGGTCTCATCTGGGCAAAATTGGAGACTATCTTTTCTGAGCTTCCAAAGACTACATTCCATTCTAGAGAGATGATGAATATGTTTCTCAGGATGCCAGTGGTAAGAATGGAAATATAACTAGAGATATGATAACTAGGCCTCAAGTCCCACCACAGGACACTGCTTCATGAACTTCAGACATTGAAACACACATACAGCATAAATGAAAAATTAAAAAAAATAAGGGATGGGATAAAATTTATAATCCCAAATATGGTAAATGATAGAGTAGGAACTTAGGTCTGACAGCCAAGAAGCTCTCCTTCTCAACAGGACCACAGACAGTAAGAAAGTAACACATAAAAGAGTACCTTCACTATATCCCATGAATGGGTGAGTGAGGTGACAAAGGGAAGAATTCAGAATAGACTAGAAATGTATAGATACAAGGAAATGTAAAGTTATCCTTGCAAAAAAAAGTTGTCACAAAAGAATATTTAAAGGACTTAAGGGAATGGAGAATAATTTTAAACCATTTGCTTATTTGGCAGACAAGGGAAAGGATCAAAACAGGGTTGGGAGGAGGGAGATAACTAAAAAGAAAAAATAAATGAACACTGTAAGTTAATTGTTAATTTAAGGAGCTTGGGATAAGGTAATGGAAAAAAAAGCAAAGAGGAGAGGAGGTGATAATAAACTACCACAAAGTAATGCAAATAAATTTAATTAAAAGAATAACTTCTTTCTCAAAAGAGGAAAATGATTTAAAAAAAACAAAAAGAGAAATGAATGGAGAGAAACATAAACCTAACAATATTGCAACCTTAAATGTCAATAGATTAAACAATTTAATAAACTGAAAAAAAATGGCAGAATGGGTAAGAAAACATAACTCAACAATTTGCTTCATACAGGAAATATGTATAAAAAGTAAATACATGCAGCACAGCCATGAAGGTGGATAGAAGTACAGAGAGCTCCACATCCCCTCTCCCAACTCCTTCAAACAAATACAGAAAAGACACCAGACTGGATCCTGATTGGGAAGTCCAAGAAAAAATTACAGTGAGTCATTTTTCTAACCCTAATCAGCACAGGGAAACAGATAGAGAGGTCTGTGGGTACTAGGAACAGATCTGGACAGGAATAGTTGCATAGAACATTTCAATGCAAGGAGAGGCTATATGTCAAAGTAGTTGGGAATAAGTACATTAATTTAGGATGAGCAACTCTCTTTTACTTCAAGCCTCCAATTTGTGATTAAATACTTGTTATGTAAGTCATTTTTCTACAATAATATAAGCACCTGAATGGAACAGTTTGGCAGTGTGGTATGTGTTCCATATTTGGTAAACAACTATTAAGAACGTGTGTATCCCTCAAATCTGGTGTATAATAATAATAATTCTGAGTGTGTGTCCCCTAAATTTAGTAAACGACTACTAATGACACGTGTGTCCCAAATCTGGTCAACAACTGATAAAGACTTGCTAATGACATTAGCTTTTGACTGATAATTGCTTTTCATCCAAAAAGCTCAGGTAATTGATCCCCAATCAGAAATTAGCTGTAATTTGAAGATGCGTTTAGCCAGAATCTTAAAGAACTGCTAGAGTCTCTGGTCATTAGCCTGCTCCTGGGTCATAACTAAGGCAGACTCCCAAATTTCTAGCATTTGGAATCTGAGCAATGCTAGCTGATGGAGATGTGATAGAATACCACCTCAGGGGAAGACACACCACAGAGGAAGAATTTTTTGGTGAACGCTGGCAGAAGAAACACTTTAATCAGGTTGGTGGTTTGTTCCTAGAGGGGTTGATGTCTATATTGTTGAATGGCCAATAAAGTTAGATTTCATGCATTAATGAATATAAATCTTATTCATTTGCCATCTGCCCTAAGAAGCATGTATAACAGTAAATCAGGGCAAGAAGAGGTTCCAGATTGTACAAGGTGTAGGAATGGGTCCAAAAAAAGGCTAGACCTTTGAAGTTCCTTCTGGTCCAAAGTTCTTTGTTAGAAAGGAACAGATTTGAAATAATGGGATTGATGACTAGAATGCTAGATTTGGAACCAGGAAGACCTGGGTGCAAATGCCACCTCTCCTACTTTACTCACTATATGACCTAGTCAAGTAGTTTATTACTTTAGGCCTCAGTATCCTCACATGTAAAGAAAAGACAATAATACTTGTGCCTAACTCACAGGACTGTTGCAAGGCTCTAAAGAGATAATAGACATGAAGTATTTTGCAAACTTTAAAGCATTATGTAAATATCAGTTATTATTAGAAGGATTTTTCAGGGAAGTTATTTCTAGAAAGGTAAAATGCTCATAACTTAGAAATGGGTATTTGGTTCTCTGATGCTCATATCCTTTGAGAATTTTTAGGAAGCTGGATTCTTAATTTGAATAAAGAAGAAATTGCTCCCAAGATAGCATTGTATTCTTTCAATTCCCTTTTAATGGCTGTTTAAAAAAAAAAGGATGTAAAAATAATGCTTTATGGGGTTAAGAAATTAGCATGTTTTGGCTTATAAAATGAGTCCTTTATGGACAACCTTGGAATTAATTGAACTTATTCAAAACCAGACAAACCTAAGTTAGATAAAAAGGCCTTCCATTTTTTATTCCCTATTTCCCTCTCTACCACTGTATTTATTATCCATCAGCACTTTTTCTGTTCTTGGCATGGTCTTAGAGTAGAGTAGACCATTTTTATACCTCCCTCCTTTCCTTTTGTCTTCTCTGTTACTCTGAATCCTCACCTCTTTATCATATTCATGTGGCACTGGATGATACCAGTGGATAGTCAGAAAGAAGTCTAGAAGGTATGAGACAAGCCATAGGAAAGGAGCTCAAGCTCAGGCTTTCACTGACAAAGAATGAAAAGCTGAAATAACACCAGGCTGTTCTTTTTAAAATAATTTTCTGGGGCAGCTAGGTGGTGCAGTGGATAGAGCACTGGCCCTGAAGTCAGGAAGACCTGAGTTCAAATCCGGCCTCAGACTGAACAGTTGACACTTACTAGCTGTGTGACCTTGGGCGAGTCACTTAACCCCAACTGCTTCACAACCTCCCCCCCAAAAAAACCCCCAAATTTTCTTCCTCCCTCCTTTAAGTGATTTGCAATAGCATTTTTTTTTTGGCTAGCCACACTTATTTTAACTTTATTAGTTGTGAATGTTACATATCTAGTAGTGTGGACCCAAACCTAAAATCTCACTCTGAACAGTGTCTACTGAACAGTCTAAATCTTAATAGTGAGGAAAAATAAGGCTCCTGGCCTCTGTCAGTTACCTGAAGGACTACAGTGAAGAATTGTAAGACTCCTCAGAGGTTATTAAGTCCAACCTCATCCTCCATTCCCACCTATTTTGCCTATGAGAAAATGAGACCCAGTTTCCTTAGAACTCCAGAGTTGGTACTCTTTCTACCATGTCACAGGCTGGACACTAGGCCAGCTATTTACTATGCTTTGAGACAGAATAGTATTGTATTAGAAATGCTCCATGAAGTAAAAGTTTCCTATATCAAGTCATATCATTCTGGTTTTGCTTTCTACAGTAGGGAATTTTTTAAAAAAATGTATATCCTCTCCTTCCCCAAGTGTGCCCTGATCCCTACCAAAGTTCTGGCTACCAGATCAGTGTTTTGGTGAGTAATGAAGCCCCCTAAAAGTGTTACTAGCCTTTTCTGATCAAGGGATTTCTGATACTCTACACTTTGCAGACCTGCATGGAAGAAGGGCATTTTCCTTTGAGGCTCACAGAGATTAAGGGAGGAAATGCGTTCCCTGACAATGGTGAGATCAGTCTTTAATTGCATCTCTGATGCCCCTAAAACTGTTGTTGTTCAGTCATGTCTGACTATTCATGACTCACTTTGGATTTTTCTTAGCAAAGATACTGGAGTGGTTTGCCATTTCTTTCTCCAGCTCATTGTACAGATGAGGAAACTGAGGTAAGCAGGGTTAAATGATTTACCCAGGGTCACACAGCTAGTAAGTATCTGAGGGCAGATTTTAACTCATGAAAATGAGCCTCTCTGATTCCAAGCCCAGAACTTTATTCACTGTCCCACCTAGCGGTGCCCCCTCCTCAAGCTTGCACCCTTCTCTTTTAAAAATTCAGTGTTCCTTCTTCCTCAAAGTGTTACCTTAACCTTACCTCACTTCTGGAGGAAGTGGCTTTTATTTCCCATGTAGAGCAGGAGAATTGGGGGAGATCTGAGTCCTCCTGGGGAAAAGTAATATTGCCTATCAATGAAGGGTCTGCCACTCAAGTTACAGGTAGAAGTGATAGGTCTATTATATTAAAAAGCAAAGTGATCTAGGGTTTAGCTGTGAGTTATGGTCTTATTCAAGAGTATGTCTTTGCAAGATTTGAGAAGCAATCTTTTTTTATATTAGTCAAAATCTGGAAACAGATTCCATTGTTGAAAGGCTGTACCAAGCAGAGACAAATGATGAATACAGAAAAAACTTGGAAAGACTTTTTATGAACTGAAACTGCGGGGTAAAGGCAGAATAATCTACCTGGAATATAATTATGTAAACAAATGCAATGCTAAAAAGCAGCTAAACTCAGATAAACTCCACCAGCCATACTCATTGGAATGGCCTCCAGTGCTCCTTTAAGGACAGGGGATGAAATATAATTCTTTCTGCTTGTAGTAGGTGGGGAACTATGGGACAAGAATATCACATTAAATTTATTGGTTCATCTTGCTTACTGGTTTCATTTGGTTACAAGGTAAGATTAAGTATGTCAGAAGGGACTGAAATGAGGTGATATTTTTTAAAAGGCATCCATAAACCGTTTATTTTTAAGGTTATGATTATACTCCCTTCTCCTTCCACCCCAGGATAAAAGATGGGGGACAACATTCCTTTTAAAGGATTTATCAGCAGCTTGGCTGCAAGGTGATAACATTTTTTTCAGCCACAGAAACTCTCAAAGACAGGCCATCCTTGTGAGGCGGCAATCAGTATTAGAAGTGGATTTGCTGTTTAATTTTAGCCACCTTCTTTGACTGAACTCTCCTGTTATATGGAGACCGGTGAGCCATCTTATGCAGCTATTTCATCTCTCTCCCTGGATTGTTTGGGTCAATTTCCAATTCATCCACTTCATTAGTCTCTACTCAGATCTCTCAATTCTTAAGATCTTCAAGGAATACTTCAAAATTTGAAGAAACTGAGATAGTCTTGGAGTGCGTTTTTCCTTCACTAATACTGATTGCCACCTCTGTAGGATGGTTTGTCTTTGAGAGTTTCTATGGCTGAAAAAAATCTCATCATCTTGTAGCCAAGCTGCTTAAGAGAGAGAAACCAAACTGCTCAAAGGATTCCATGCCTAAAGGAATCATCTTTGTTTGAAGAGGCTGGTTAGTGAGGGGGCAGGTGTACAAAATCATTGTTGCAAATAGTGATTGGGTTCCATCATAATCTTATTAAAGTGCTATAAGTCAGGTTAAATTATATTATGAATTTAATTACGCATTAAATGACGAATTTAAAATGCTTTTAATGGTTACCAGCAGCCTTGGAGATGTCATCATTAGATAGTGTAGTGCATAAAACGTTGGGTCTGGAGTCAGATAGATCTGAGTTAGAATCCAGCCTCAGATAACTAACTAGCAGTCACCAGGCAAGTCCCTCCTCACCTATAAATGGGGATGATAATAGCACTCCCCACCTCCCCCAGGGTGGTTGTGAGGATCAAATGAAGTAATATTGTAAACCACTTTGCAAAGTTTAAAACTATATAGAAACTATTATATTATATATAAAACATATTGTAAGTTTTTATAATCAGCATTATTATTTATGATTGGAGACAACATGTACCCATATGAGAATATGCAAAATAAATACAAGGTAATTTTGGAGGGAGGATACTAACAGATAGAAAGGAGGAAAGCATTTATCTGGTGAAAAGGACAGTGTAGAAAAACCTCTAGGGGCTGGGCCTTCCTGAGAATAGGAGGCTTCCAAAGCAGCAACATATTAAGTGCCTGAGTCCACAGCTGCTCTGCTCTTGGCTGAAGGAAGGAAGCAGTCTGAGGAGGCTGAGATTTGAACAATAACAAAAACCTGATATGTTGATGCCTTGGGTAGATGCTGCTTAATGTATATGGAGTTATGACTATGGATTTCTGGCTTTGACAAATGGGGGAAGGCCCTGATATACCTTGACCAGCAACTTTCCCCATTTCTAGGGCCTAATAACTCTCTCACCCACTAATCCACCTCAAAAGCACCCAGAAGGTCCCTGCCGGGGTCCACAGCCCTTCTGCTTTTCATCATCTGGTGGTTTTTCTACGCCTTTGCCAGAACAACCCACTTAGCTGTGATTGTTATGCACAGTTCCTTCTGTACTGGCCATGCTTGAGAATCCAAAAATGCAAACTACATTCAAATGACCTGAATCATGAGTACACGGGTTCACTTTGTTCTATTGATGTTGATGCTAGATCATACATAAATCATGCTTCTACAAGAGTTGCCATTTCTAAAAGGGGGAGGAGCCAAGATGGCAGAGTAGAGGCAACCCAGCCAAACCCTCTCAACACTGCCCACCAAAAACTTTAAAATAATGCCTCAAATCAAGTTTTGGAGTGGCAGAGCCAACAAAAGGTCAAGGAGAGACACTTTTCTGGCCTTGGAAAATTTGGGAGATCTACAGGAGAAGTCTGTGACTCCCAGTGGAAGCCTGGCCAGAAACTACACATATAGAGGCAGCAGTAGCAGAGGCAGTAGGGCCGGAGCTTAGGGAGCTTGCATCCCAGAGACAGTAAGGGGGTCAGACAACTAGGGCACTCTTTGCTCAGCGGATAGAGATCTGGCATCAGAGTCAGGAAGACCAAGCTTCATGTCTTGCCTGACACAAATTGGATGAATGACTCTGGACAGTTCTCCATGAAATTATCTAAGACTATTAAGACTCAAAGCATTTGCTGATTTGGATTAGTAGAAGGAGTTAGTTGCCTTGCCAGAGAGCTCTCTGTATCAATTAAATCATAAGTGCAGTTCAAACATATGTGTGTTAAGTATATGTGTATGACATAACACAACATAGAATATATAGTGCATAGTGTATATAAAACAGACACATATTATGTGTATAGAAAATACATAGGGGTCAGCTAGGTAGTGCAGTGGATAGAGCACTGGATAGAGCACTGGGGCTGGAATCAGGGGTACCTGAGTTCAAATCCAGCCTGAGACCAGACACTTGATACTTACTAGCTGTGTGACCCTGGGCAAGTCACTTAACCCCAATTGCCTCACCCCCCAAAAAACCCATATATATATGTATATATATATGTATATGAAAATATGTTAACATAATACAGTGTATAAATAATGCATATATTTTATATCTACATCACACACATGTATATATGTATATGTATGAAATTACTTACAGATTCAGAGAAAGTACTCATCTGGTTGGTGAATTAGGTAGACATAATTTCCTCATCTGGGAGTTCTATACCAATGAAATAACAGGTTTATGGTTCTTTCCTTTCCCTCTCCATGCATTTATAAGCATATTCTGCTAAGTATCTACCCCTCTGAATCCCTCAGTGTGTGGATCTCCCACTGTGGCCACTCCCTCAATCCCACAAAGGCAGATTCCAACTCCTTTGCAATCTATAGTACTGCAGACTTTTCTGTACCAAAGGTACTAAAAGGTTCAGTGACTTGACCATGATCATGCAGCTAGTATGTGTTTCAGAGGCAGAATTTGAACCCAGTTCTTTCTAACTCTAAGGCCACTAAGTTGCCTCAATTGTATACTAGACGTTTACTATACTCATAGATGTATGTGTGAATCTTTATCTATCTATATAATTTGACTGCGATTACTAATGAATGTATAGATGATGTTTGAAAAATTTTTTAAAAATAATCAATATTTAGTGCTTTTCAATGCTTCTGAACCCGAATCCCAGTGGAAGTATATTTTTAAAATTTTGTTATCAACATTCCTTCTCTAAAGGAGTGATGACAGTGAAGTGAGCTCCTACAGAGCTCCTCTCCTGGCAGCTAAACCAGGATTCTACTCCCTGGAATGGTTACTGCCTTTCCTGTGGCAAGGGGTTGTGGAGACAGGGGGGGTGGGGAGTCAGGTGTCCAGAGGGGGAGACAGGATGGAGAGGAGGTCCCTCCCTATAACCAACTACATTCTCTAAAAGTGCCCTCCAGACTTGAGTTAGCATTGGCCTACAAGAGCAATAAACTGGAGATAAGGCCTCAATTGTCAATGAGAACACCCTGATAAGTTATCAAAATGGCAAGAAACACAATTCCAATGAGGATTATTACCTAAGTCACACTGTGCTTGGCAGAATCACAAGCTTGGGTTCTCTGACAGTAATTTAAATGATAATAAGGAATCTTGAAATGATTGCAGTATGGTAATCTGCTACTACAGGAGATGTCAAGCACACTTAAGTACAATGGCTCCTTCCCCTTGCCATTCTTTATTCTTGAAATCACCCTTTCTTCTGTATCTATCTGCAGCAAGTGACCTTTCTATTCTTCAAGGCTCTTATGAAAATCTAACTTTCTCCTAAAAGTCTGATTAACTTCAATCAAGGGGATGTGATTATTCATTTTGACTTCAAACCCAAAATCAATGAAAGAAGACAACTGAGACGTAAGACCAGTACCAACAGGCCCAGTCCTGGGAAATTAGGCAAGTGGATATCATTCACGGAAGAGATTTTCCCCTCATCATGCACATGCAAGTTCTTCCTATATTGTGTATAAACATCTCTTCACAGAAGAATGGAAGTAAATTTGCTCTAGATTTCAATACTGTTATCTTACTCTCTGTAGAAGCGTCCCTCTCATCCATCCCTCCTTTCTCATTAGGGTCCAACATCAAGATCTCTCAATATCATGGGCTCTCCCTTCACATAGCTGGAAGAAGACTGGTCCTAGCATGAGTCTAGACTATCTCACATCATTTTAGGGCAGGAAGTCATCTTAGCACTCACCGACTCTAGAGTGGTGTCACAGAAAGAATAGTCATTTGACAGTCAGAAGCCCTGGGTTCAAATTCTGGTTCTGTTGCTTACTACTTGCAACTTTGGTTAAAGTCTTTCACACCTTCAGAGGGGAGCCACTGCAGTTGAAGGGCAGCTAGGTGGCGCTATAGTGCGCAGAGTAGAGTCAGGAAGACTTCATGAGTTCAAATTCCACTTCAGACACTTACCAGCCAGTGTGACTCTGGGCAAGTCACTTAACCCTGTTTGCCTCAGTTTCCTCATCCATAAAACAAGCTGGAGAAGAAAATGGCAAACCACGCCAGTATCTTTGCCAAGAAACCTCAAATCGGATCACAAAGGGTTGGATGTGAATAAAGCGACTGAACAGCAGTTGCAGTTGAACACCTTTAAAATCTAAGATCTTTTACATTGCAGAGAGTTTCAATGTTTGTCTAAGATAAGACAGCTAGTGGCAAGACTTTTAATTTTAGTCCAGTTCCATGGTACCATACTGTCTTTCTCTTCAACAATGTGATAATTGCCTGGAGACTACTCAAGAAGTATCTCTATTTCTGCAAAGCCCAATTTTGGTGCCTGTTTTATATTTATAATTCCCTTGATCATCATTTTATACTTTCAGAGACTCACAATTTGATGCCAGTGGCCCTGTGCCAGTAATGCCCATGTGACACTGGGCAAATTATTCATCACCTCTCTGGGACTCAGTTTCCTCTTCTGCAAAATCAAGGTATTGAAGTGGCTGATGGCTAAAGCCCTTGCCAGCCCTTGAAACTATTTTTAAAAAGAAAAGCACGTACTTTCCTGGGGAGAGAAGGGAGGAAGGAAAAGAGGAGAAAGACATAAACAGAGAGAACAGAAAGGGGCAGCAGGGTCTGCTTAGGTGTGGTTCAAGGGAAACAGAGATAGAGTCAAAGAGACAGAGAGAGACAGAGTCAGAAAGAGACCAAGTGAGAGAAGCAGAACGTGACAAAGAAAGATACAGAAGCAGAGAACAGAGTGAAGACAGGCATGGAGTGATGGAGATGAAGGGAAAGACAGACAGAGAGACAGAGAGACAGAGAGAGACACACACACACAGAAAGAGAGAGAGAGAGAGAGAGAGAGAGAGAGAGAGAGAGAGAGAGAGAGAGAGAGAGAGAGAGAGCGCCATACTGCCTTCAAAGGCAGAAATCTCAGAGCTTCCTGAGAAGTCAGTCCTCTTTCTGTCACGCTCCCCTTCTCCATCCCTGTCCTCATCCCTCCTTACATCCTTCTGCCCTAAAACTACCCCAAGAGTCCCTCTTTCCTGCCCTGGCCTGTTGCCCAAACAAAATTTAGTTGAGAAAGGAAATGGCCAGCAGAGGTTGGAAAAGGAGGAGAGAGAAAAAGGAGGAAAAGGAGGAGGAGGAGGAGGAGGGAGATGGCTGGGGAATGATCGGTACCCGGAAGGCTGCAGAGCCTTTCTCGTGGCGCTCCGGGGAGACGTGCCTGGAGCGGTTGCTGTTCGCTGCAGCTGCTGCGCCCGGGAAGGCTCCCCTGGGGAGGCCGGAGTGAGCCGAGCCCAGGGAGCAGCTGCAGCCCCAGAACAGCCAGAGCCACTGCAGCCCAGGCGTCTTCATGGGGCTTCAGAGGAGGCTGTCTCCTGGCTCCACTGGGCCCGCTTTCTCTTTCGCTTTGTAGGCTCCTCCTCCCTCTCCAGCTGTGGCCCGGGGATGAGCTGCGGGAGGCGGCGCTCCGGGGCAGCCCTGGCCGGCGCTCGCTAGCAGGCCTCGCGCTCCCTGGCCTGGGCGCCTTGTCCTCGCGGAGGTCCCCTCCGAACGCTTCCCGCGGCTTCGACCACTGGCTACACACCCAGCTGCAGATTCCCGGGGTTTGGCCTTCCTGATCCCGACCTCTTCCACATAGATGAAATCTAATTTAATTTATATAAGTTAATTAATATGTTTATATAAGATGCAGTTACGTATTCAAATGGAACACAATTTATTTACTATTTATACAGATCAAATAATATTTAATAGTGAATAATTTGAAAATAATAAATATATTTATTTAAAATAGATTTTTGTCAATGAAAATATAATTGTATATGTGTATAGATTAATTTAATAATCTATTTTAAAATAATAATCTATTAAAATTTTGTATGCATTATAAGTGTATATTATATATTTGTTTAAATAAATATATCATGTAAACATAATGTATAAATAATATAAATATATTATTTATGGGGACAGCTACTCGGAGCTGTGGATAGAAGGCAAGGCCTGGAGTCAGAAAGACCAGAGTTCAAATTTGACCTCAGACACATACAAGCTGTGTGACCTTGGGCAAATCACTTAACACATGCCTGCATTAAACTGGAGAAGGAAATGGCAAACCACCCCAGTAATTTTTGCCAAGAAAACCTCATGGACAGTATTAAGAATACTAAAATACATGACATCAGAAGATGAGCTCCTCAGGTTGAAGGGCTTGCCATGCTTGTCCATGGAAGGGTGGTGGCGGTGGTGGTCACAAAGAATTGGACACTACTGAATAATCAGAAATATTATTTATATACTATTTTGCTTACATAATATTTATGTATTATAAATATTAGCTATTAGTAATATACTCACTTAGCAAGTTGTGAAATTTCCTCCATAGCTTGTGAGAAAGAGAAGAGGAGGGAGTAGTGGGAGCAATTGAATACTGTAGTTTGTCAAGAGAAAGGGGCAGGGTAAAGGTGGGATCTTCGCAAAGGATTCAAGAGTATGGAGTTAAAATTGCTAACTATCCCACTGAGTTTGGAAAGGAAGGAAAGTGAAGGTAGGGTAGGGATAATGGTTAGAGAAAATACCGAGGGGTGGAGGAATTGGAGGCCTAATGAGGGTAATGAAGAAGTATAGGAGCAGTAAAGAATGAAGAGATGTGGAATAGAGAATGATCAGATAGGGAGACAATCAGAATTTCTAATTAGGGAAATGAGGCAATTGTGGGTCATGGCAAGATCAGGTGAGTGACCACCTTGTGCCTGGATGAAGTGTAGTAAAGGAATAAGTCATGAGATTTATGAAGATTGAGGAAATGAGAAGTTAGGGAGTTTGTGGGAATATTTACATGGATATTAAAGTCCTACCATTCAAAGGCAGGTGTTGAGTAGGTCAGAGATGGAGATGATAATGAGCTAGGTACCTAACTCCTTGAAAAAGGAAGAAAAATAAGCTAGGAGCTGGCACACTATATCTTCCTTAATTATTGAATACTCTGTGAATTTTGGTATGAATTATGCAACATGAGGCAATAATAAAGGGCATATGGTGTGGGAGAAGGGGTAAGTGAGAAGTCACCAGTTGTTTTCTTCGTTTCCAGTGGTGTGCTGGGGCCAGCTTGAACCAACTTAGCAACGTTGGTTGTTAAATTTTCAGTGTGAACATTTACATCTTGGAAATTGGCAAATGTTACAAATGAGGGTTTGATTTATTATTTTGTTGATTTTCGACAGTTAAGGAAAGGGTGGAGAAAATGTAATAACACAAATTAAATTTAAAATTGTATTCTGTGTATTTTTTCCCCCTCCAGAGAACCAGTTGTTTAAAATTTACCATCACTCTCCCTAGAAGTATTCACCTTTGTTCAGTCATGCGGTTAAACTCTCAATATGTAGCAGATTGTGAGCATCTGGATCATTTGCAAACATGATTATTATTTCTACTCCTGTTTTCTCAAGTGCTTTGTACTCTGTAGATGTTAGCTGGCATTACTTAAATTATTTTTTCTTTTTTTATTAATTTATTTTGATTTATCAACAATCACTTTCATAAGCTTTTGAGTTTTAATTTTTTCTCCCCTTTCCTCCTCACCTCCCTCCCCAAGATGGCTCATAATCTGATATAGGCTATACATATACATTCCTATTAAATATATTTTCACATTAGTGATGTTGTAAGGAAGAATTAGAACCAACAGGAGGAAACATTAGAAAGAGGAAACAAAGCAAAACAGAAGAACAAAAAGAGCAAATAGTATGCTTCAATCTGCATTCAAACTCCATAGTTGTTTCTTTGGTTGTGGATAGCATTTTCCATCATGAGACCTTTGGAGATGTCTTAGATCCTTGCTTTGCTGAGAAGGTCTAACTCTATCAGAGTTAGTCATCACACAGCGTGGCTGTTACTGTGTACAATGTTCTCCTGGTTCTGCTCACTTTACTCAGCATCAATCCATACAAGTCTTTCCAGGTTTTTCTGAAGTCAGCCTGTTCATCATTTCTTATAGCACAATAGTATTCCATTACATTCATATACCACAACTTGTTCAATCATTCCTCAAGTGATGGGCATCTCCTCAATTTCCAATTCTTTGCTACCACAAAAAGAGCTGCTATGAATATTTTTGTACATGTGGGTTCTTTTCCCATTTGTATGATCTCTTTGGGATACAGCCTTAAAGGTGCTATTACTGGGTCAAAAGGCATACACATTTTTATAGCCCTTTGGGCATAGTTCCAAATTACTCTCCAAAATGATTGGATTATTTCACAACTCCACTAACAATGCATTGCATTACTTATGTTCTTAACATGCCTTGTGTGTTAATTATCAAAAGAATTTTTGTAGGTAGCCATAGGTGTAAAAATCTCAGAAATTAAATGCTACCTTCAAAACAAAACAAAAAAAAAACTTTACTTATTCCATTATGACCACATGAGAAAGAGGGGAGGGTTTGGGGAAAGATGAATCAGGCTTCTTGTGGTCTAGGCCAGTCTCTAGTTTAGGAAACCTCAAGTTGTTAAGTTTTCAGTGTGAGCACTTATACCACCAGCACTGGCTAGAAGGATCTTAGAGGACAGTTAATGCAATTCCCTCATTTGGCAAATGAGAAACTGAGTCTCTTACCCAATAATAAATATGAGAGGGAGGCCTTGAACTTAGGTTTTCTGATTCCAAATCCAGTGCCAGTGCACCATGTTACCGCCATAATAATCACAGAAGAGTTAAATGACCATGTTTGTGATCTTAACTTATCCAAAAATCAAGCTTAGTTTTTGGTTTCTAATCTAGACTAAAAATATAGAAGTTCATGTCATTAGGAAGCAAAATACACCCCAAAATATTCAGCTTCTCTTGAGAAACATTAAGTATCAAAAAACTAGCCTCTTTGTGTCTGTGGCATGTAAAAGTGTTTGTTCTTTTACTAGGTATGAAAAATAAATATGCCTTTATTTGTAAATGGGACAGCAGAGGGAAAAATGTTTAGTAAAAAAACATTGGCCTCAATGGAAAAAATGAATCTGGAAAAGAAAAATGTGGCAAGAGTACAACTGGGTAGCCCCACAAAAGTTCTTTCCACTATTGAATATTAAATTTGGTTTAATGAAAAATTTTGTCAGGATGATTTATTGAAATGACATAGATTCTCTTTATCTGAAAAACAAATTTCCAAAAATCAACAAGGCTAAAATTGAAGTGGGGATATCTGTGGGTGGGTTCTCAAAAAAGGGAAGTGATGAGAGATGACAGTTTTGAAGAAACAGTTAAAGAAGCTGCATGGAAATACATTTTTTAAAAAAGGGGACCAAAATCTTTTTGAGATAAGCAAATGGTTACCAAGGAAATGGTAGTGATTTTTCTCACAGCTTATTAAGTAATGACATCATACATTTCATTCAAGATGCATTTCTTGGATTTACATTTGGACTTCATTCCAGAAAACCTAGTGCTATGAGTGGCGGACATGGTGAACATTTCCATCGATAAATCTTTACAATGGAAAAAGGGCACAAGGGCAAATGGAGTCCAAGTATGCTGGCTCAATATTGGTTATTGAGAAGGGATACTCCATAGGTGAAATACAACAAAAAATTCATTGGTAACTACATTTTAGGTGAATCAAATGAACACAATTTTCTTTAGTATGAAATGATTTTATGTATCCATGTATCCATGTACAAGCACAGATGCACACACAACCACACACACATATATATGCTATATACACTGTATATATAGGCATATAAGTATACAAATATTTGATTCCTGTTAAAACAATGGATAATACTTTATGTCAGTACAAAAAATACAAGATTCAACTATTTTTATAAGTGTAACAAAAAAATTCTCCACTTTATTGGTTATGGTGTTTAGTGTGCTACATCTTCTATACAATATCTTTTTAAATATTTGAAGATAGCTCTTTTGCTCATTGTGATCTCTTCTTTGGACAAAATTTTTTTTTTGTTTCCTTTAATTTCTAAGGCAGATCAGACAAAATTTTTGGTACTAGATAGAATTTGTAGTGGAAATAGGTCTCTGTTGATCTATCTCTTTCCATTGGCAAAAGTTCAAAGTATAAGGCATTCCCTGAGAGCATGGGAAAAATTTCATTGTTCTTGGGGAAACTCAGACTTTGTCCATTTCCATTGAAGAGTATTATCTAAATGATACTGCATATGTTGTCCATAGTTAATCAGGTTCTCCTTCTCCTCCTCCTCCTCCTCCTCCTCCTCTCCTCCTCCTCCTCCTCCTCTCCTTCTTCTTCTTCTTCTTCTTCTTCTTCTTTCTTCTTCTTCTTCTTCTTCTTCCTATTTTAAAGTGACACATTTTAAAGTGTTTTATTGGCACTCTTTAAAAAAATCAGGGAGAAAAATTTAAAACTAAAAAGCTTATGGAAGTGATTGTTGATAATTTAAAAAAAGACAATCAAAACACA